GGGGGCAATATGCTGACTCTGTAAACCGCTTAGAGAGGGCTGAAAGCCCTATGAAGCGGTAAATAAGTCTAACTGCTATTGCTATTGCTATTGCTATTCCTCCAACTAGATCTGAAATAAAGGGCATCGCCGATGAAAAATATTCTTGGAATCTCATTTCATTTCTAAATTCCTTTTTGCTAATTTCCTATGAGCCTTTATTTCTTTTTCTGTAGACAGGTACTTTTTAAATATGCCTAGGATTCATATTATGTCTGTTTGCTTGAACTATATTCACAAAGACCTTCCTTCTGTTTTGAAAAATTAGTAAAATATATTCAGAATAATGCTTTCCTTTCAGCTTTGGATTCATTAACTTTGTGGACTTCCATCATCGGAAAAAATGAGATCAGCATTAATGTGTAAGGAAAGATTACCTCCTTAGAGCTTGCCTGCTTGAATAGCTGTTATTAGGTCATTCATTAGCGGGGTCATTATAAGAGTCGCATGTACTTTACGTGCCACGGAAGGCAAAACTTGTACAAATAACCTATTAAATCAGGCAGTTGGAGGCTTTAGAACTCTGTGTTTTTAAACTCTTAAAAGTTGCTGGAAATAAATGAAAGCAATTTTAAGGAAGGATTTGTGATGTCCGGGAAGCATGATTATCAATTCAGCAGCCATTGTATAAAGGAAAATAATGTGTTTATAGAACAACTAGCAATGCTAGAAAAAGAAAAAGGAAAGTTTAATATATTCATGCCAGAAAAGCTATGGAGACAAAGGAGACGCACTACTTTTTACATCCACCCAAACTTGGCATTCTATCGGAAACCTTCACATTGTTTTTAGTGGAAAAAATCATCAAGATGTACAGAGACAGAGACAGAGACAGAGACAGAGGGAGAGACACACAGAGAGAGACAGAGACAGAGAGACACAGAGAGAGACACAGAGAGACAGAGGGGGGAGAATATGTTGGTTATTATTCTCATCTGCTGGTCACCTGGATTTAGGCAGTTATTCCTAAAGGTAGCCTTCTGGCATGCAAGATAGCTATATGAGATTAGGTGTGTTTGTTCTCCCACTTTGTTGAGTTTTATCTGTTTATTGTATATCTTTTTAATCTACTTAATTAATTTATTTTCTTTGTTTTTTCATGGCTTAAGGGGTTTCTAACTATTGTTACCCAGAGTCATATTTTTTGTGAAATGGGCAACTATATGAATATGTCAAATAGATGGATTTGGTGTGGTGGTTGCAAATTGTTGAATTGCATAAGTCACCTTACATTTTCCTTTTTCAAAAGGCTACCTGGAATTCAAACACTGAAGTGAATAAATTGATTCATTGGAGCCCTGTGTTTAAATTTGCACCTGTTGATGTATTGAATAATTCTCCTGTTGAGCTTATTTTATTTTTGCAAATAAAACAAGGTTTGGAACCAGACAGGGACAAAAGGTTAGAGTTGTTCTCATCATCTCCAATCAAGGTCTGCATCTCCACCTGCTATTTACTTTTTTAAAATAGATTCATGCAAACTCTTGAAATTGTTAGATTCTATATCAAGGTTAGCCCTCAAGGAGAGAAAATGTCCCTGTAATTCTATGTACTGTGTAATTTTATTTTTATTTTCAAGTGGGAAGATCAACTTGAATGAGTTCTTGCTTACGCTGACTGAAAGTAGAACAGTTGAGATAATTATTAATAGATGCTTTCAAAATAAAATACGCATTTAGTGTTTTAATATTTTCTAGAATTTTATATAGTGAATTAAAGGGGGATAAATCAAGACCACTTCATCTTCATAATCTATTACTTATCATATTACCATGTGATGAACTATTGTCATACCAAATCTTTTAGCATTTAGATGAATCTAAGGGAACAAAACACCTTTATCTATTTAATTGAAATTCTAGGCCATCTGAGACTTGTGAGACAAACTTGGTGCTCAAACTCACCAGAAGATCTTGATTTGTGTTGTTTCCTCACGAAGAGCTTTTGATACAAAAACTGAAATACCACAATTTTTATAATTGCATAAAATATAGGATTTGCTGATTTGAAACTAAGCAGTTTCAAAGTTAAAAAGTACTTTATTTAATACCCTAAATTTTCTATTTTTTCCTGTGCTTTTTTTTTTTTTTTACTATATCCTGTGCTTTTCTTTTTACTATTGGCATCATTTCATCATTTCCCCCCATGTAATTGAAGTAGAAGGGTTTTATTCTCTTCTGCTTCGGGGGTCTAGAATATTAATGAAAAAATGAAACAGAATTAAGAAAAGAAAAAAAGGATAGGAAACATTAGGAAGCTCAGGGAAAGAAATATAATGTAAAAGAAAAATGGGGTAATAATTATTAAAATGAATTTTGAAAACATCCCCCAGTTGTAACCAAGAGTGTAATTCAGTGACGTGCAGTTGGGAGGCAGGGGAGGCAGGGCCTCACCACTGCCATCATGAAAAGAAAAAAAATGTAAGGAAAAAGGCTAGAGCAGAGGTCAGGCTGAGCTAGTTGCTGCCA